CCCAGAATACAACAGTTTAGAAGCATATACGTATAAAGATACACAACATATCCCTCCAAACTGCCAATATCCCAAACCACTCCTTTAAAGTGCAGGCATTGTACTTCCTATTTCCAGGACTCAAGTCCGACTATATGAAAATAACCGGTTTCCCTGAATCCCTTCACTAAATATTACCCTGCTCACACTCCAACAGATCGTCAGGTCCCAAGTATCATTCGTCTCCATTCACTCCTATCTAACACGCTCATGCACGCTTGCTGGAAATCCAAGCCCCTCGCCCACAAAACCTCCTTTACCCCTCTTTCCAACCCTTTCGAGGACGACCCCTACCCCTCTTTCCTTCCCCTATAGATTTATATGCTTTCCATGTCATTCTACTTTGATCCATTCTCTCTAAATGACCAAACCACCTCAACAACCCCTCTTCTGCCCTCTGACTAATGCTTTTATTAACTCCACACCTCCTAATTTCCACACTCCGAATTTTCTGCATAATATTTACACCACACATTGCCCTTAGACAGGACATCTCCACTGCCTCCAACCGTCTCCTCGCTGCTGCATTTACCACCCAAGCTTCACATCCATATAAGAGTGTTGGTACTACTATACTTTCATACATTCCCTTCTTTGCCTCCATAGATAACTTTTTTTGACTCCACATATACCTCAATGCACCACTCACCTTTTTTCCCTCATCAATTCTATGATTAACCTCATCCTTCATAAATCCATCCGCCGACACTATATAAATAAAAAATATTTACACTAAGCTTGGAGGAGATGTTAGTTTAATTAGTTTGATGGAGGAGATGCTGGCAGAGGTTTAAGGTGGTGGAAGATAGAAGGGTAGCTTATGTTCAGCGGCCCTATTCACCTCCAACAACATTGGAGAGTTACTTTCGTGTTTTTTTCTATCACTTAATCACTTATCTTACAGGCTACACTATTAATGCTACACTTTATTGCTGGCTGGTGCTACAGCCTTTATCGCTGGCTGGTTCTATAGCCTTTATCGATACCTGCTGCTTTAGTAGCATACATGTTGTAGAATCACTGAATCACTTAAGAAGGCACATTCTTCCCTCTCTCTTCCTCCTCCACTTAGGTACTTTGCTACGAGTTTTTTCTTGAATTCTGTCATGTTCCTTTCCTTCTTTACCAAAGGCCTGGCACTAGGAGCTTTCTTTGGTCCCATGGTGGCTTATTTAGCAGTTGCAAGCACAAAAAAATTGATTATTATGAAATGTATCGTATGAACCTGTGGTCAATCACGAACCACGAGGCTGTATTTTGACAAAAAAAAAGTTGCCGAAAGTCAGATTTCATGATAAGTCATGGCCGCCGAAATGCGGGGGGGTCCACTGTACTGAGTAACAACGCCTGCAATAGAAAACCTCTTACGAACTGATCACCAACTACCTTCTCGTCTGAGTCCTGGTGATCACTACCTAATACAACTGCCTCCTGCTAAGAAGACATTTGCTCAGAAGAGGTGTTTTGTCTGTACACATACAAAAAAATGCCCACAAAAAGCAGAGACACTCGTTTTATGTGTGAGGAGTGTAAAATACCACTGTGCATGACACTATGTTTCAAAGAGTTTCACAAGCTGCAGCACTTCTAGGAACATGTCCAGTGACTCTGTATATGTATATAGTATATTATAGAAAAATAGTAATAAACAACATTTTTTATTGTTGGTTTGTGTGTATATATTGTGTAAACAATAGAATGATAATGTTTGTGTGGTTATTGTGTAGCATACAACAAGTGAATTTATATACAATATGCATTATATTGATCTCACAGACCATAAAAGTTACTTGGAAAAATAAAATAATAAATGACAGAAATAAGTACATTAAAAGTAAATACAAGACTACTGAGTGACCGGCAGTCGCCGATGTTGCCGTAAGCGGTTCACTTTCTGTCATCTTCATGGCTCAATATCTCTGTAAGTATTGATCGCAATTTTTTTTTTGTTTTTTTGGTCTATAACAATCAGAAAAATAATCTTTAGATTTTGGTAAGAAAAAGTAACTTTTTTTTTTTTTTCAAATGTTTTTTGACACAGAGCAAGAGTTAAGAATCAATGTTCTTGACACTGAAAGGGTTAATCTTTATTGCTACCACTTCAACTACATCATATGTGATATTTAGTACTTCTGCATAAATGAGAGAATGTGACATACAGGCCAACCGTCCCTTGTTGTCTGTTCTTTCTGTTGTAACTAAATAAGTTATACTCTATTATCCGCATTTTGTTGTCAAATTAGTCTTACGTGTGGGTCTCTGAAGGTCACAAACATTACATTTGACTCCACGAGGAATCCACTGATTAAAGGTATTTGTTGTTGGTGGATGGCTTAAGCCCCTGTATATTTGCAAATAAAATTGAAGTTGTACTGTAGTGTGCAAATTAATTGGGAAAAGCTAATTGCTGCATTTATTAAGATCTGGTACCATGAAGAATTTTCCAAAAGGTATTCAACATTGATTCTTTGTTAAAGCGTGTAGCAATGCTCATAGGAGCAAAGGGTAGTCATATCTCTTATTAAATCAGTCATCTGTCATATCATTGCTATGCATTTTTCAAATAAATATTAATTTTCCAGATAAATGTCTTATGAAATAACTGTCCCAATTAATATGCACACTACTGTATTGCCTGTTTATTGGGGGATTTGTTTGGTTGGCATTAGTAGTAGTAGTAGTTGGTAGGTAAGACACATAGGCAACAGTTAGGCAACTTTATTCCGAAACGTTTCGCCTACACAGTAGGCTTCTTCAGTCGAATACAGAAAGTAGGCAGGAACAGTAGAGATGTGAAGACGATGTAATCAGTCCATCACCCTTGAAGTCGTAGAATTTGACTGACAACCTCAAATTCTACGACTTCAAGGGTGATGGACTGATTACATCGTCTTCACATCTCTACTGTTCCTGCCTACTTTCTGTATTCGACTGAAGAAGCCTACTGTGTAGGCGAAACGTTTCGGAATAAAGTTGCCTAACTGTTGCCTATGTGTCTTACCTACCAACCTGTCGGTATTGTATACCATTTTGATGTTCAGTAGTAGTAGTTGTTGTGGAGGGGTTAGGGGGCTACTGACTGTGCTTCCAGTCCAACAAGGCTCTAAGATGATGGAATATTTTTGTCATTTTATTCCTGTTTTTTTCCATTTCCTGGTACTAAAAAACCACTTGATATACAATGGTTTTAACTGCTTGCATTCAGAAATGAATGTGGATGTTGCATATTGATGTTCATTCTTTTCTGGAGAGACAAGAAATAAGTGAAGGTAAATGTGTTGCATTAATTTTGATGAGTCTACCTTGGGAAACACAAGTTGAGTGTTGCAATGGGATCCAAGAGGATGATGTATTTATCATTTTGATTTGTTAAGATCAAAGAAAACCACTATCATGCCAGGGCATTTCAGGCAGACTTATCCTAGTACATAATAACTACTTAAGTCTAGACAAGATAAGAGCAGTTAACTTTTTAATAAATCTTTATTTTATCTTAATACTAATGTGAGGTAATCAAGGTGGAGGTTTATAAGAATAATAATCTTGAAGTTGCACATAATAAAGACAGTATTACAATTAATGGTTCATGCAATAATATTTCACGGATTGGCAGATGTTTAATAGACTCGAGGTCATGTAATATAATATTTGGGAGAGTTGCTTCAAACCGGTTAGAAGATATTTTGGTTGGTTTGGTTACTATTGAGAGATGAGATGATTTTTAAGCATAGCTCTAAATTTGTATGTTGTCAGGGGATCCTTTACCGGTTCAGGTAGTGAATTCCAGATCTTCAGGCCCTTTATGATGGTGTACAACCACTGCAAACTTGAAAACTTTTGTAATGTACTAAATACTAATGATGGGACAAAATGAGCACAGCTCTAAAGTTGTCACTACAAATAGATAATTATTGTACCTGTTCTCATTAAAAACATGAATAAATGCTATTGAGTGAGCCTGTGTATACAAGCTTACTCATTTATTGTACAAGTGTGTGAATATCTTCATGCCTTAGCCAGACACTTTACACACAGCTATATATGCATGCTTTTGCTTTTTGTAACCTAGGGATGTATAGGCTTCACATCAGAAACTTTTATGCACACTTTGTTGTCATAGAGAAGATATTGGCCACAACTGTGTCTATTATATTAGAGGAGACGTGAGGCCGCTTGTACTACTGAGAGTAGGAACAGTGTGGCCACAGTCTGCACCATAATGAACCATCTTCAGTTAAAACACCAATAATTATTTTTCTCCAATTCTAAAAGGGGTTTGGATTCTACTCAAAACGTCAAAATTTTGATGGTGTATCTAAAAACCATTTAAATTAAGCTTGGTGTGGTGTACATTACTTGGGTATATACTTCATGAAAGGTGCTTTGATGCTGCTGAAAAGCTCATGGAGCTATTTTTTTCATTGCTTGAGTAAAACCTGATGATTGTTTGGGACTTAACACTACCCTACAAATATAATAATGCTACATTGGGATACCTTGCTTGTGTATCAGCAGGTGCTGCACACATACAGTAAACCCTCAATTTAACTATCCCTCACTTCATGGACTTTGGGAATATAGGACAAAATCTACTGGGTCTGCTGATTTGAAACAGCTGTCCATTGGTTACAGAATTGCCTGTTATGATCACAGCAAAATAATGTCATCACTATACACCACAGTCACCACTACCAGCCACCTGCTCCCTTCTATCAGTCTGTTAAATTGAGGATTTTCTGTACAGGTACTGTAGTTGTATTTGTGTCAGTAGTTGATGCACAGTTACAGGTACTGAAGCTGTGTTGGTCTCAATTTGTAGACTTATTTGTTAATGAATATTTATTTGTGACTCACATGCTTTGACTAATGCTTTTTAATTCCATTTTCTTATTATGTTGAAGTGTGGCTGAGACTAATAGTGTGCCTCTGGTGTGTTTTGTTAATGGCTTGTGTTGCTTCAGCTGGTGCTCATGATACTGCAGCTCTTGGTGCCAGCAGCACTTACGTTAGCCCTGTGGTTGCTGCTTCCACTGTACCACCACCTGCTGGTAAGTTCTCGTGCACCCTCCTACCAAGTTTTCCTCTTAATCTACTAATCCACTTTACCACCACCACCACCTGCTTGTAGGTTCTCATTCACCCTGCTGTCAGGTCTTTCTCTTAGCCTACTAACCCACTGTACCACCACCACCACCTGCTGGTAAGTTCTCATGTACCCTCCTTCCAAGTCTTCCTTTTCATATTCATATTCATATTCATATAGTTTATTTGGACATGATACATAGTTGTACAAGGAATTATAGTAGTTGGGTGTACATGCCAAAAGCCCCTTGTATGCAGAGCATTATGGGCAGGCTTAAAATTAACTTAAAATTAACAAGCAATGAAAGGTTCAGTGGTAAAAATTATCCTAAACAATTTACAATTTGAAACAATGAAATTTGAACATTTCGATATTGAAGCATTGTAGTTGTACAAATTTGTCACATTACAATGTATAACAAACACGATGATCAATTTACTGTATGTTGTCTTGAAGTTTTAAGATTTAAGTAATTGGGAGAATTATTGGTAATGTTAAATATTGAGTGTTGATTATTTAGTCCTGGGTGAGTAAGTGGTTTTTTAGAAGCCTTAAATTGATTTTCAGGCCTGGTTACTTTAATATGTTTTGGTAATGAATTCCAGATTTTGGGGCCCTTTATGTGCATAGAATTTTTACAGTGTGATATGGACTCTGGGTACATCAAAAAGAGATCTGTGTCTTGTGTTATGGTTGTCTCTCCTGTTAAGGTTGGTGAGGAAGTTTGAGTGGAGGGTTTATGTTTGTGTGTATTGTTCTATGTATATAGTAGGCACATGAATAAGTATGGATGTTCTTTATGGTGAGCAAATTTAGACTTTAGAATAGAGGTGGAGTATGCTATTGCGTGTGGGAATTTATTATTCTGATTGGAGCATTTTGCTGGGTTATTAGAACCCTTTCACTGTCGGCGCTGTAATATTACAGCTTGCAAGCCAGTGTCAGTCCTGTAATATGCCAATATTGTAGCGGCTTCAAATCTTGTGGGAGTAAGCTGGTAGGCCTCCATATGAGAGAATAGGTCTGAGTGGTCATTGTGTGCAGTATAAAAAAAATCCTGCAGCACACAGTGCAAAATGAGACAAAAACTCCGACCGCATTTTTGGTTTAAAACACCAACTTTGCGGTGTATTTTTGTATGGTATATATAGTTTTATTATAGGTAGTAGGTTGGTAGACAGCAACCACCCAGGGAGGTACTACCATCCTGCCAAGTGAGTGTAAAACAAAAGCCTGTAATTGTTGTACATGATGGTAGGATTGCTGGTGTCCCTTTTTCTGTCTCATAAACATGCAAGATTTCAGGTACATCTTGCTACTTCTACTTACACTTAGGTCACACTACACATACATGTACAAGCATATATATACATACCCCTCTGGGATTTCTTCTATTTTCTTTATAGTTCTTGTTTATTTCCTCTTATCTCCATGGGGAAGTGGAACAGAATTCTTCCTCCATAAGCCATACGTGTCATAAGAGGCAACTAAAATGCTGGGAGCAAGGGGCTAGTAACCCCTTCTCCTGTATATATTACTAAATTTAAAAGGAGAAACTTTCATTTTTCCTTTTGGGCCATCCCACCTTGGTAGGATACGGCGGGTACATTGAAAGAAGAAGATATAGTTTTATTCTCGTTTTCTTGGTCTCATTTGATAGAATGAAAGATATATTACAGAAATAGAGATGATTTTGAATGGTTTACAGACAAAAAGTACCTTGAAATTGAGCTCAGAGTAGTGGAAGTGTTCAATTTTTGCCATTGTTCAAGAGTAAACAAATCATGTCAGGTGTCTAATACATGCCAGCTGGTGGGTCTCATATGCTTTCACAAATGCATTGATATTGTTTATACCATTTTTACAATAATGCAGTAGTCTGCATAACAGTAAATCTTCTATTTTTTGTGTGAAAAAAATTTCAAAATGGAAAACAAGCGTAATATAAGAGGAACCTGGAGATGTGACCAATGAACAGAGAAAATGTAATTTTAGCGCTAGGAATATTTGTATTGTTAATTCTGGACCCTGTTTTGAAATTGGCCTTATTTGAATTGTGTATGAAATTGTCCAAATAACCAATTTCTGGTCACTTTATTGGGTAGTTGAAATCAGTAAATGGGTGGTTTCTTGTACTCAATCGATAGAACAAATGGAATTCTAGCATAATAGCTATGAGTTTCGTCGACTGGAAAAAAGGAATTGACTGAAAATAGGGCTGAAATTGGGTGAAATCGCCGATTTGTAAATACAGTGGAACCTCTACTTATGAGTTTAATCCGTTCTGTGACCTTGCTCGCATCTGGATTTGGTCATTTGCAGAGTCAGTTTTCCTTATTTAAATTAATTGAAATGGAATTAGTCCGTTCCTGTGGAATTCCAGGCACAACAAAATACAGTGGACCCCCGCATAACGGACGCCTTGCATAGCGGACAATCCGCATAGCGGACGCTTTGATCGCTAAAATTTTGCCCCGCATAGTGGACAAAAACCCGCTCAGCGGCCTTCGTCCGAAACGCGTCCAATGTGCGCTTGAGCCACGCTCACATGTTCCGCGGGTGGCATTGTTTACCAGCCAGCCTCCGCGGTAACATCCAAGCATACAATCGGAACATTTTGTATTATTACAGTGTTTTTGGTGATTTTTTTCTGGAAAATAAGTGACCATGGGCCCCAAGAAAGCTTCTAGTGCCAACCCTACAGCAATAAGGGTGAGAATTACTATGGAGATGAAGAAAAAGATCATTGGTAAGTATGAAAGTGGAGTGCGTGTCTCCGAGCTGGCCAGGTTGTATAATAAACCCCAATCAACCATCGCTACTATTGGTGGTACAGCTGCTGCTGCTGCTGTATCACCGTCAGCTGCTGCTGCACTGTCAGCTGCTGCTGCTGTACCACCGTCAGCTGCTCCTGCTGCTGTAGCATCGTCTGCTGCTGCTGCTGCTGTAGCATCGTCTGCTGCTGCTGTAGCATCGTCTGTTGCTGCTGTAGCATCGTCTGCTGCTGCTGCTGCTGTAGCATCGTCTGCTGCTGCTGTAACATCGTCAGCTGCTGCTGCTGCTGCTGTAGCACCGTTGTTGGTGTGGCTTATTGAGAATACCAAGAAACAATTAACCCCAGAGGATTTGCCACCCAGGATAGCCCAAAAAAGTCAGTGTCATCGAAGACTGTCTAACTTATTTCCATTGGGGTCCTTAATCTTGTCTCCCAGGATGCAACCCACACCAGTCGACTAACACCCAGGTGAACAGGGAAAATGCCTGGAACTAGTGCTCATATTGGTGAATTTAGAGCCAGCAAAGGTTGGTTTGAGAGATTTAAGAATCGTAGTGACATACACAGTGTGATAAGGCCTGTTCTGGAAGAAAATACCAAACAGGACCTACAGTACTCAGGAGGAAAAGGCACTCCCAGGACACAGTGTCTCATCAGTCATTGCTGCATCTTCAATAAAGGTAAGTGTCATTTATTCTTCATTTAGTAGAGTAGTACATGCACAATATATATTGTGCATGTACTACTCTACTATTGTGCATGTATCCTTCTCTTTGTGTGTAGGAAAATGTATATTTCATGTGGTAAAAATTTTTTTTTTCAAACTTTTGGGTGTCTTGCACGGATTAATTTGATTTCCATTATTTCTTATGGGGAAAATTCATTCACATAGCGAACATTTCGCATAACAGCCAGCCCTCTTGCACGGATTAAGGTCGCTATGCGGGGGTCCACTGTACTTCAGTAATTTCCCTAATATCAACTCTTTGGCTTATTTATCTATCACAATTCATTTAATGTGACATAAACAATATAAATAACATAGAAACCTGATATACACAGTGGACCTTGGTTATTGGCCGCTTCTGTTATCAGCCAATTCAGTGATCGACCGGTTTTTCGGTGCCCGGTTATCAGCCGTTAATTCAGTGATCGGCCATTTGGGACGTGTCCGTCCAATGCGCAAGTGGCTGGGGTCACTTGCGCATCAGTTTAGCTGTGTCTCTTGGTGGCTGAGGAAGCTTCTGCTCATACATCCAAACATTTTGCTTATTTCCCATTGTAGCTTGTGTTGTTTTTGCAGTGCAATTGTGAAGTAAGTAACCATGGCTCCAAAGAAAGTTCTTGTGGTAAAGAAAGTGAGAAACACAATGGAATTTAAGTGTGAAGTGTAGCAGGCATGCAGGGAGTGTAGCAGGCATGCTGCGAGTATAGCAGTTATGCAGGTAGTGTAGCAGGCATGCAGGAAGTGTAGCAGGCATACAGGAAGCGTAGCAGGCATGCAGGAAGTATAGCAGGCATGCAGGAAGTGTAGCAAGCATGCAGGGAATGTAACAGGCATGCAGGAAGTGTAGCAGGCATGCAGGAAGTGTAGCAGGCATGCAGGAAGTGTAGCAAGCATGCTGGAAGTGTAGCAGGCATACAGAAAGTGTAGCAGGCATGCAGAAAGTGTAGCAGGCATGCAGGAAGTGTAGCAAGCATGCAGGGAGTGTAACAGGCATGCAGGAAGTGTAGAAGGCATACAGGAAGTGTAGCAGGCATGCAGGAAGTGTAGCAAGCATGCAGAGAGTGTAACAGGCATGCAGGAAGTGTAGCAGGTATGCTGGTAGTGTAGCAGACATGCAGGTAGTGTGGCAGGCATGCAGGAAGTGTAGCAGGCATGCAGAAAGTGTGGCAAGCATGCAGGAAGTGCAGCAGGCATGCAGGAAGTGTAGCAGACATGCAGGAAGTGTAGCAAGCATGCAGGGAGTGTAACAGGCATGTAGGAAGTGTAGCTGGTCCTTTTATTTTTTTTTATTATCACACTGGCCGATTCCCACCCAGGCAGGGTGGCCCGAAAAAGAAAAACTTTCACCATCATTCACTCCATCACTGTCTTGCCAGAAGGGTGCTTTACACTACAGTTTTTAAACTGCAACATTAACACCCCTCCTTCAGAGTGCAGGCACTGTACTTCCCATCTCCAGGACTCAAGTCTGGCCTGCCGGTTTCCCTGAATCCCTTCATAAATGTTACTTTGCTCACACTCCAACAGCACGTCCAGTATTAAAAACCATTTGTCTCC